TTTTTGGCTTTTAATCTGTGTAAGATGGACATATTTTGCAACAGACTTAAGGTCTTGAGTCTTGACTTATTTATCTTGGGGAGCTAACAGTCATTTGCTTTACTGGTCAGTAACCACAGGTGATGACAGAGAGACATATTCTTCCACCTTTTCTGAATATTGCATTTCCTTAAGCAGAAAACCCTTGGTAACCTGCCCTCTAGCCAGACAGGACACCTGAAAGATCAGTCACTTCTAAAGGATGAGGAAGGAGTGGGTGGCCCACCAAGCTGCACGCATTAGCCAGCTGAAAGGGCAGCAAAGCCAGAGAGGAAAGTGAAGGGTTTGGCTGTGACGTTTTTGATGTGTTCTTGCTTCTGCACTCTCTTCTAATTGAAGTTTATTTCAACTTGTAGGCTTGCTCCTGGCAAGCCAGAGTGGGAAGATTTCCTGCCGTATCAAATGCTATTTGCAGCAGCAGCTGAGATGTGCAATTTAAAATTTATATGTGATAGTTTCCCATATTACAAAAATTAAAATACTATGAATCATCACATCAGCATTCTAGGTCACTCTTATTCCCAGATGTGAGAGTTAAAAATCCTAATGAGTTTTTTTTTTTTAAGTGAAAGTTATTAAAAGTTATTAAAAATAACTTTCTGGTTAGGAAGTAAAACTTGATACATAAATGTCAAGACACCACTAGGGATACTTGCTTTTGCATCTTCTGGATCACAGTGCAGTGAGTTACAGCTGGAAAAGTCCTCAAAAATTTATCCAGATATTAGGAAAAACAAGCACAGGAATGAAATTCCTGCTCTCCCAAAGTCAGTGGGAACTTGGCTGGGGTCTTTGAAGGGAGTCAGAATTCAACTACAGGAACAGGATTCTGATTGTAGATGTGCTCAACAATTAAAAAATAATTACACTGGGAATACTGTTATGCTCTAGTAGCCTGAAAACAAAAGTAAGCCCTAAGTTTCCAAATACCAAAAAGGAAAGGTAAACCATAAATTTGTAAGATGGGGAAAATGCTGGGAACAGACAGTACTTTCTTTAGGGTACCTCTTTTTATCCACATTCTCTGAAACACCCACATGGAAGGCCAATGGCCAAATTTGTTACTGTGTTACAATAGCATCCAGAAACCTTATCTGGATTTATTCCTCTTTTTGTAATGTGCTCTACTATAGAAAGAAGGAGTCTCTCAAGACTTTCTGGCAACTCAGCTTTTATAGTGTGAAACCACCACAAATAGAAGCAAAAATGTAATAAAAGTGGTGAGACCTCAGGAATGCAGCTATTCCCTCTCCAACTGGAGAAGTGCTAGTGTTGTGTTCTTTAGGGCACACAAAGTAGTAAAATAAAACACAAAAGGAAATGTTAGGGACAGTTTTCTTTCCACCTCTTGACCTGAACTGTCTGTGCAGACAGAGCTTTAACACTCCAATACCGAACTGACCAGTTCTTGTCACACAGATTTATTGCAAGGAAACTGAACAACAAAGATAGTGGTGGATATACCACCCCTACATTTATATTCTGCTTTGGCTCCTCTTCGGACACTGAAGTACTTTTGAAGAATTGATAACCCTCTCTGCACCAAGAGACTGTTGCATACCAGCTGTGAGTTGCCTTTTTGCAATCTGACTTTCAGACCAGAATATAGAGAATCTAATAAAGGCTTGACCATTAACCTTTGGAGAACATTTAGATCTATGCTTGTAAATTCAGTTTTGCAAGCGCTAAGACAGTTAATCAATCTCACCATCTTCAGATTGACAGGCAAAATCCTCTTTGATTTACTACCTTTTGTATTTCCAAAGCAAACCAAACCACTCACTTTCATTTATAAGCATTCTGTAGAAACTAATCAAACTGTTCTTTTGCTAAGTATATAGGAAAGGAAGAAGCATATTCTTGACCTCTTTACTACGTATTTGGGAAATATTCAGATTGAGTTATGCCAGGAACATTATGAAAACAGATTTTGTTGTCATCTCCACTTCCTCAGTGATGGATCTTGGTTGCACTAGATGTAATCTCTATGTGTATTAGGGCTCTTTCTATATATGCACACACATAAATAGAAGTGTAGGTACAGAGACAAGCAAGGAGGCAATCATACTCTATTTCTGCAAAGCAATTTCAAATCCCCCAATGAAAATCGTTGAAAATGTACAAGCTCTTGTCACAGCAAAAGCACTACTGGCTGATAATGCTACCTGAAAGAGATACTGCATCCCTGCATTGGCGCACACACAGAGAAGAGCACCTGAAAAGTGTCAGCACTAGCAGTGAGGTTCAGCCTGGATCATTCTGCTTTCTTAAGTGAAAGGTTTCAAATGAAATGTACCAAGGAATTCAAAATACCAAAGGACGTATTTAGTAACAGGATGGTTAGGGAAAAGGCATGACTTGTGTAAGGTTATCCAATTTGTGACCTTCAAGCTAAAGCAAAAATAAAAAAGGAACCATGACTAAAGAATATTCCTGGTGTAAATTCTATTAACTGCTGAAAAGTTTAGAAGCAACAAATCAGGTAATAAAATGACATAAACTGGATTTGAAACATTAATTTCCTTTACCAGATTAAAAGATGCTCATTGTTTAACCATACTGGGAAGTACTTTCTTGTAAGACATCCCAGGAAAAAATACAACAATCAGAGAGCTTTTTGAGTATGCTTTCCCTATCTCTGCACTTTTCCTTCAAGGAGGCTGTGAGAGATTTAAGCTTGCTTGGGGACAGATTACAGAAAAAAAAATCACAGTCGTAAACTGTTTAGGGAGTGAAATACTGTCTCCTCTTTTATTTGGGATTAGACATACTTAAACAAGATCAGTAAGAGGCTTTTTTTTTTCAGGGCAAAAAAACCCCAGTGTCTGTCAGGAAGAAATATTTGCTATACCTAAGGAGGCTGTGAGAGATTTAAGCTTGCTTGGGGACAGATTACAGAAAAAAAAATCACAGTCGTAAACTGTTTAGGGAGTGAAATACTGTCTCCTCTTTTATTTGGGATTAGACATACTTAAACAAGATCAGTAAGAGGCTTTTTTTTTTCAGGGCAAAAAAACCCCAGTGTCTGTCAGGAAGAAATATTTGCTATACCTAGAAAACTAAATAGTTTTCTACTCAGAATAACAAATAGCGCACAGATGGAAATTAAAGCCCAAATGAAACATTTTTTTTGGAAGGAAAAGACCAAAAATTATTTCTGTATCAAAACCCAAGGGAAATTCATACAAAAAAAATAAGATGCCTGGAACTTCTGGCTTCTTGTTTGAAATCTGACATTCTCTAAGACAGGTCCTGGTACTACAAGATGACATCATTGTTGTGTAAAACTGAGTGCTGGTCATCTGAAACAGAAACTTGTTCAGACTTGCTAAGAAGAAAGTCTCATGTGATTACAGCTTCTTGTATTAAATCTACCTTTCATTGTTAAATGATTTTAGGCTTGCTGCATATTCTTCTATATTTTGTTCAACCGATACAGGAGAATAAAGATTCCAGCTGCATTTGAGTAAAAGGCAACACCTTTAGTAGCAAACATACTCCAGAATAATTTAGATTTAAATTTCCTAACCTTTGCCAGGGAAACAAGCTCTCACTTTTGAAGCTGTAAATTCTTATTAATAATTATTGTATTTTCCTTATGCTAGGGACAATACAACTAGCAAGAAATAATCTAGCAATTTGGAGCTGAACATGTGTTTCCTGAGAACTACCTTAAGCACTCTGAAGATCTCTGAAATCGCCTTGCTGTTATGGGAAAGATGGTAAGATGATGTGCACCCTGGATTGCTTCCACTGCTTCTAAGCAGTCCCAGCTGCAGAGCAACGTGGGTGTCCCACCACTGCTGCTCAGCAGAGAATGAAGAGGAGCATCTTTGGTTAGTGTTTGTCTGTGTCCTGGAGGATAATGAGAAAAGAGCTTGTCTAGTGCCACAAAATACCTATGCAAAGGTTACTTCTTTACTTCCATGCTCCCAGCAGCCCAAGAAAGGTTGGAGAGTGATGTGATATTATGTTTCATGGTATCATTCTTTACATTTGGTATAAATCAGCAGGCTGAGGACTGTCCTTGCATGCATCACTTGCCTATGATTTCCCAAGAACACATACAGATGCTTAGCCATTTTCCCTCCCTATGCTCAGTGTGCCTCCTGTGTTCAAGGCAGAAGGAAGGAAGGCACAAGAGTTGGCTTACATCAGCTTCACATTGCCTGAAGAGATGTAGACAGTTTTCATTCTCTTTGTGCCACTTGAATGCAAAGAAAGGAGAACAGGGCAAATCAATTGCCCTGGTATATTGACTGTGACTGTCTGACATTTTTTAAATGTTTGGGCTGTGGGCTAAAAGGGTTGGACAACACTGGTGTACACGTAGATACAGATGGTTGCACACTTACAAAAAGGATTCTTTAAGGCTAGCCAAACTGAAAAGGAGGAAGCATAAGGAAAATATATGTAAGTAATCAGATGAGAACACTAGTCTCAGCTTTCAGAATGTCCATGTAAGTACAGTGAAATTTCACAATGAAAGCATTCCTGTGTCGCTTTTTTTTTTTAAGGACTCGGCAGCACAGCAATATCTGTGTATTTAACTAATGTGACAAGTTTTAGTGTGTCCTAATCAAACCTAATCACCCCTACTTTCTACTAGGTACTACACTGATCAATGGAAAAGCTTTCTAGGCAAGAACTTGGAAAATGATAAAAGCATTTACCATCATTATTTTCTGCTTTTGACAATGATCTATGTCTGTACAGCTCATCATTCATCTCTTGTAAAAACAGTGTGGCACTTTGATCAAACAGCCAACAATAGCTTCCCGCATAAGGTAGAGTGTTATGAGAGGCCATCAGATAGAAATCACATTTTCTCTGAACAATAGGAACCTAGAAATGATGTGCTTGATTTACTTGCAAATAAAATCATGTGAAAGGTGATATCTTCACAGAGGTTAAAAAGACAGCTATCCTTTTATTCACCTTTCTGTGTGTTAAACAAACTTCACTGTCATGTTGCAACTGAGATGGAGTGTCTACGCAGTGATAAAGAGGCACATTCCAGCTCTACGAAACATAACTGCCACTGTTGAAAAATTACCTGCATTAAACCTTACACTTATCCCACAAATTTTAAGAGCAAGATGTGGGAGTTTGATTTTGATTACAGGCCTCTATCTGTGTGGCAGGCAAAGGTCTTTAACCTATGCGTTCTGAACGTACTGGGCACATAGTTTCATCAATGTCATGCCTCATTGGGTCAACGCAGGATTTTATCTAAAACTTGAGGCTTTTCAGTTTACACTGTATATGCAAACACAACCTTTTACTGGTGCTCTCTGCCTTTTGTTTCATTGAAAGGATCTATGGTATTTATAGAAAAGGGAGCTGGAGACATCTTAAACTTATTTTACTCACTTAGATTCCTATTGAGCTGAGGTCTTCAAAAGAGAAAGGTTGTTTATTTGAAGACTGGTATACACCAGAGCCACTGGAGCCGAACACTTTCTAGTCTTAGAAAAATTGCCCCTCTTCTTTTTCTACTCTGGCTTCCCCCAAGCCTCTACTGATTGCAGCAATGTTCACTGTTAAGAGGGCTCACACACATTCTCCATTTGTGAACACAAACGCATTATCCTACTTTTATTTTTGCAGTCTGTAAAGGACTGATTATTTTTGTAATGCTGATGTAGATAATCTTCTTTTAATGTCATGCTACAGGATGTGTGTCAAGATTCGAAAAGGTATCTGCATAGTCCCACTGCAAAAGTAGTTCAAAGGGTAAATTAAAAGGCACAGATAAAGTTTCAACAGAAGGTGGAATTTGGAGCAAGTGAAGAAGTTGACACGGCTGTAAGGGAGAAGGGGCGTCTCAGCTTAGAAAATCTTTTTTTAATTGATTAGCAGTCACTTTGTTGGTGATTTGGTCAACAAAAATACTCTTGAATCACATTGTTTTAAAGTATGCCACCACAGAGCTGCCAAGAATGGGAGTCTCAGCTCTCAGGACCTCTGGGCCCACTGCTGCTCTGGAGTTATCTGTTACTCAATTCCTACAGACAGCTGACTCTAGAAGCTAAATGGGAAACTCGGTCGTGCTAAATCATGAATAATCTCTACTTCATTACCTGCATAACTTTCTAAATCGGCTCACTGTGAGGTCAGATTAATGCCAGTGCTGGTGCAAAGCAGAGGGGGTAGGAATAAGACTGGTTCCTGTTTGGCTTGCCTAAAAAACAAGCAGAAAAAATACCTGAAAAACTCAGAATAACCAAGTTTTTCCTTTCCTCCTTTTCCAAAGAAATGTACCACCAACAAGGTATTAACAGCACAGCCTTCCAGTTCTGTTTCCTATAAAACAAGAAAACTGAATGATTAATTTTATGTATTATTTAATTATTAATATGTATTCACCACAATTCTAGAAATATTTATTTGAACTAGAATTTCATAAGAGAGACTAGCAATTTTATTCCTGTTCCCAAAGCTATCACACAGGATCTCAGAGTTGTATTTTAAGTCCTGCTTCTAAACCCTCTGTATGAAAGGAAGATAAGCACAATCTACAACCACCATCAGTCTATTTTATTATCAAAATTGAGAAGGTTGCTAGTTAAATCTTTAAGAACCATTATTCTGAGGTGAATAGAACCTTTTAATAAAGTCAACATCTGTAAAAACGTTTTTAGTTAGATATTTCTAATATGTTACAGCCATGCAAAAACATTCATGACAGCCTAATAAACAAATCTAGGAAAATACCAACATTCACAATGCTCTGTTATAATATAGTCTCACAAGGCTTCTTGGACATTTTCAGTGTTAGTGACTTTTCTACATATTTTTAAAATCTGAAGAAGAGATTTCTGCAGAGATGGGATGCACATTGTTTCAACTCAACAGCATCTTTAACAAGCCTAAACCCACACATAATGCTGGATCTCTGTTCTATTCTTCTTTCAGCACTAGCATAGTGGCATTTCTTTGAACGCAACAAAACACTAAGCAACATGAAGAGAGTTTTTTTTTTTTTTTTTGTAAGTCTGGAGGGATTTCAGCAAACTATTCTTATGACATCTAAATAGCCTCTGTGTCTTTTATCTGGTTGAAGAGGTAAGATGAAAGACAAGAGTCTATTCATAAGATTTAATACTAATGGTTATTTAGCTTTCAGCATCATCAATAACAAGTTCCATTAGTCCACTGTGTTTCATGCTTACTGCATATGTGACACAGTTATTTCATAGGCAAAGTGGTAACATTCCTCATTTCTACTGCAAGCTGCAATTCACAAAGTGACAGTGATACGAGTTATGTATGAGGGAACCTGGAAAAAAAACTTTTCAAGCCATATGCAAGCTGTACTTACAAGGCTTTTATCATTTAATTGCAGGCAAAGAATATTTAAATACCCACAAGATCCATCCTTCTGAAGTTTAAACACTTCGGATTACTGTGAAGACTAATGCATAAACATTGGTATATGCTTTTTTGAAAGTCAAAAGTCAAACATTCATGTATGCTTATTTGAAATTCAAACTCAAACTATTTATATCAGAATGCAAAGTTTTCTAAGAAGAAACAGAGAAGAATCTGCATATCTCTCACTGCAGCCAGATTCTAATCTGCTTTTTGTGGGTTTTGCTTACATGTTTAAAGAAGGCTTGAAAAATGGAAGAAAAAAATGTGCTGATGCAATTTTAAAAACTGAGCTCATGATTGCACAATTTAATGCTGCCAATTCAATTACTCCATATTATAATCAGTGTTGTATTGAAAACAAACTAAGAAATTAGGTTTAAAATAAGCTTTTAAAAACAAAGTCTGTGACAGAAAAAAGTTCTCACATTTCTCTACTTATAAGCTAGAAGATGACACACAAACAATACCTGCCTCATCTTATCTAAGATGACAAACCCTATCCCTGGATTTATAACAAATATGCACCTACTTGTTGGCTACCTTCTTTATCAGTTGAAATTCCTAAGTGGAATTGGCAGATGTCCAAACACTATGTTAATAAGAGTTAAATGTATTTTAAAACTACAAAACAGTAAGTTTCTTTAAAGCATAAAATGCAGTAGGAGACAACAGAGACTACAGCTTAAGGGTAAAATTTCAAAAAATTGCTTTTCCTAGAGTTAATGCTATTAAACTAAACTACATGTTAGTACATAATTCCTTTTTGTCCACAGAATCATTAGGAGCTTTTGCTGCTGAACTGTATAAATTAGTACTGACATGACAAATCTTTGTTAGAAGATAATGAGAGTTCTATTAATATTTCCAACACCTCACCCTCCTGAGCTTAGGTAAAAGAAGAACTTATATTTGGAATGTCTCTCTTGGCAATGAGAATGAAGTGGTAACCTAATCCTTGAGCTGTAAAGAGGACCAGACCGGTAGCTTTGAATCATTATCTGAGTGAAAGTTTGTATTCTGGTGTATCTGGTAGCTTCAAGCCCCAGGAGGGTGCATTGTAGAACCATTTGGTGCAAACCTGAGGCATATAGTGGAGAAGGGATCCTGATATTCTGAGTGTCATTGACGGGGCAGGGACATGTATCTCAACTGGGGAACTCAGACATGTTCCAGGGTCCATTGGTTCAGTCAAAGAATCCCAAAGACCACACAATCTGATGCCACACAAGCCTACGAAACTAATGAACATGTGTGTACATATTACCAACACAGGCTAATTTTCCTAGAGTAATGTTAACATCTCATGCAGTTTTCAAAAGCACCATGAACTGATGAATTATGCAATTATTCCTTTTCAAGCAAGATCAGATAGCACAACAGTTATTTCCTTATTACACTACACAGGCTGCTAACACAGAGGCCTGATGCTGCAAACACTGAGTCATGGGCACAGATAACTCCATGCTGGTAACTCCCCACTAAGCTTTTGACGTTTAGGACCTGATACTGCAGCAAGTACCAACAAGTGCCACTGAGAAAAAACTTATCGCACAGCGAGACAGGATTTTCAGAATAATGTACCTAACTAATTTTCAAAACTCATCTGAAATGCTAGGAGACTTACTGTCTCTAGATTCTTCCCACCTTTCCTTGCAGAATTTGCCTGAGGCATGGCTGGAAAGTATTCAGCAAGATTAAAATCTGCTTTCTAGTTCTCTTGCTTGCTTCCTGGGAGATGGTATTCACTGTGCAATGTCTTGTTTCAATAGAAGTGTAAAAATAATACATATTTTGAATTTGGTTGCTTTATATAACACAGAAGGAGAGTGAGTAGATGGAATAATGGACAGAAAAGTGAGGTCAGTCAAGGAGAACAATATCTTAGTTTCTGCCTGCTAGTGATGTCACAATTTTTCCAAAGGTAAGACTAAATATTTGCACATTTGTCTGAGTCCACTTTTCTGAAATGCTTTTTAATGTTTTTAAGCTGTTAGCTTAGTCAATTCATCATGCCAGGCTTCTATCTCAGCCTAGTCTCACACACTGCTCAAGAAAATTCAAGCTTTCTGCCAGTTTGACGGTCTCCAAGATGTTGGGATATATCCTACAACTCAGTTCTGGGAAGAAGGTTTAAAAGATGTATCCACTATGAAACTAATTCTAGCAGTTAGAGCCACTCAAAAGAACTGCAAACAGGCAAGCTAGTGTGGCTGGGAGACCCAGATCTCCAAAAGCAGTCCCTTTTGGCAAAGCCCAGACAGTCTCAAGTGGGCCCCGGAATGAAACAACATATTCTATGATGAATCAACTTTCACCAGGATGTAAAGCCATACTACAGTTTTTAAATGTTTTGCTATGCACTTTCTTGCTATGTAAGATGCAAGAATACCTCAGGCCTGACACAGCATCCAACAACATCCATGATTACCATTGCTGGGGGGGATTAGTTAGTTGTTTTTTAATTACAACTGATGCCATGGAATCACTCTGCGGTAACCTCAGTGCCTTTAGTAACAAAGAACATGCAACCACATGAATGTCCTTTAGTTAGCATGTGTCACCCACTGTCCTGCATCAATTCATGAGGAGGTACAGAATAAAAATGGTTTCCAGCCAAAGAGACTAAAGCTAATCTGGGAGTAGATGCTGCAGAGGATACTTTATGCCACAAATAGGAACAGGTTGAAACTAGTCTTGCCGTGAGCAGGCTGACTGTGCCAAGCAGTCAGGAAACTGTTGCATTGTGAAGCCTAAGGCTGCCTGCCCAGTGCACTGGTGGCAGCCCGGGAAAGCAGCTCCTATACACAGTTGAGGACAGCTCCTCATAAGAATTCAGGCCCTGCCTTTCTGTTGTGCCATACTTTTAAAATATTATTTTCCACCAAAAGTAGAGATTTCATAATGAGGACTGCCCCCTCAAGAGGTGTGCTGTGCTTTGAAGCAAACTCTTTCGACCAACGTGGACTTGGCCTCGAAGGCCAAGCACATCCATCCTTGGCATGTGCAAATCTCCTTGCTCTCAGAGCTGAAAGTGACTCAGGTGGACTGTGACCAACCCCCCCAACCTGCTGTTCAAACACATCCCTCAGATAGTCTGTGCTCAGGCTGCCATCAGCGCTTTCACTTATCCCCAAATGCCAACTGGGCATGCTTAAGCATTTCCAGTTTATCCCAATGCACTAGGTAGCTTTCAGAAATTATGACCAGATTCTTACTGTTTCGAATCAAAGACTAGAGCTATCAGTGCACAGCCAAACTGTGTGTCTTCCCTGGGCTATCAGGAGCCCACACTGCTATCTGGCTTCTCTGTATCGTTTGAAGTGCCTCAGACCAGGTCATGTAGCAGAGACTAAGGGATAGCTTTGCCTCATATATCTGTGCAATGGAAAGCAATGCTACTGTGACCACAGACAGACTTCCAGATGAATTCCTCGTAGGAGAGACTTTCGCTGTCCAAGCCAAATTCAACGTACTTGAAGAAGAGGTATCTAGAAAGATGTCAGAAAGCATGTTTTTTTTCTCTTTCTTGAGGTTATAATGTCATCAGATCGTATGGGAAAAGAAAATAACTTCCTTGTCTGTGAGGTAAAAAAATGACACAGTAGTTTTTCAATAGCCTAATATTTTGGAGTCAGATGGCTTGGTTCTTTATAGAGTTTACCTGCCTGGAGATTTTCTTTAAAGCATGCAGGAATATCACAGTGTTCCTTGGTTTAAAGTATCTAAAAGCTTTTCAACAGAATTTAGTGTTAAACTCCTGATACAAAACATACATATTTACGTTGGAGAAGATAGGTCAAGGAAAAATGTGCATTCTATCTGAGCTGAGAGGTTACAAGATTAATGACAGAATCTTTTGGGAAGGGATATTAATTTCAGTCTTGGACTAGATTCTTGCAAAGTGTGATTTTCTGCACCCCTGTTACAGTGCACCACTACACTAGAAGAGCATCGCTCTCAGCCACCAGTTGAGAACTTCAGTTTTAGGCAGTCTTTATTTACACTGAGCCCAGGGCTATGAAGACTTTGAAGCTCTGGGTAGAAAACTTGAATTAGAAATTCTAGGGAGCAGATGGGCAAGTTATGATGACCTGCACAGTCCCTGTGGCTGAGGGGATGCATCACAATGCTGCAATGTCTGAAGGTCCAAGTATAAAACCTTGGCCTGACTGGGTACATGGTGATAAATGTGTGAATGACTGATGTCATGTACCTCTTTTAGAACCACAGGAAAAAAATAAAAAAAGCAAGTAGACAGGTTGAAACAACTGATAAACAACTAAAAGGAAATTATTTGTGTGTGGGTCTATGAGTATATTTGTTATAGTCAGCCTCAATTTTAGTTCAAGTGTTTTCTGTTTAAAAGAGATTAATAGCTGTGTTCCGAATTACTAATTAATCTTCAAAAAATCCCCAACCATGTAAATGAGATACTTTGTATGAAAATGTGTTTATTATGGAATCCAGAAGCAGATGTTTAATCATCTGGAAAGAAAACAATGCATATATTTTTCAACATTAATTTAATTTTGAGAACAAACACTCTATATTGTCATTCCTTTTCTAACAATAGCTAACATTAATTTATATGTTTACCCACTCCATACATAGAGCATATTAAATGAGAGGCATTTAAATACTTGATAACTCATTAATCTAAATTGAAGGGCCTGAGAGCAAAGTCCCTGATCTAGATGACTGGGCTGTCCAACAGATATCCAGAACCATTAGCACTGGTTTCACTAGCAGAATGTTAAAGCACCTTACACTATCAGAGTATCCTTTTAAGGAACTCAATACAGTTAGCACAGAAGCAACTGGTGCTGTTCACCAGGCACCACCCTTTTCAAAATACACCAAAATCTTCTAACTCATGCACTTTCCTACTCCTCTTCCATGAACCATGGTCACACATTCAGCTGGATGTTTCATATGAAGAACAGTTCTGCTAGTAGGAAGTCAGATGTAGCATTTCCTTTGGCCTATGGGGAAGGTGGGTGAGGTGAGACAGCCACTGCCTGTGTTGACTTCGGCACCATTTTCTCCAGCCTAGTTAGAAAGAACCAGGTTCCAGTCTTGTAAGACTGCCTGCAGCTCTCCTTCACTGTGCGTGCACCTCTGCTGTGAGCAAATAGGATTGCCTGCTCTGCAAAACTTGGCACACAATGTCCCAAAAGACAGGGCCAGTTAAAGCTGGGCAGATTTTTTGGCTTTTCCTCCAGCATCAAATATAATACTGGAAAAAGAAAATCCCTCAACTGGAATACATGTATTTGGATAACCAAATCCACTGCAATCCCATTCAAGGGCCATTAGTAAGTGGTGAAAACTTGAATTTTAGGTGTGTCAGCAAAAAAAGTCTCAGCAAAAAAAGGCAGAGATATAAGCACCCTGAGAGCACAGGGAACTGCTTTTTCTATTCCTAATACAGTAACTCAACAAGTATTAATGGTATCTCCATACAGTAAATAAATGACTGGGACCTTTGTCTATACCCTGTACAGGGAACACACCTGGATATACCTGCTGGCTAAATAAAGTTTCAGACTATGATTTAAACTGTATTTTCCAAAGTTGGTGACATTTTCCATCTTGTATCAGAGACTGGGGTTACTCTGAAAAACCAGCAAGGTCATATGCAAAATGTGGAAGTGTTTTAGAAATAAAGAACTATACCAAACACCAAAATTCTGTTACAGTATCCCAACTTTCTAAGAACACAGTCCACTTAAACTCCATATTTTTATGCTTCATCTGCTTTGCTTGCAAGGAATACTATGATTGCCATAATTATTAAAGGGTAAAAACATATCCACCAGATACATCAGATTCACTGCTAACAAAGATCATCAACTTCTTTTATGAGAGACTGAGACAGGAAAGAAAACAAAAATTAGAAGAAATTTGGATTTTGCCAAGTAGAAATACAGAGACCAGAACAATTTCAATTTAGCTCTACTTCCCAAGGCTATTTAATTCTTCTTTCATACTATAATTCCATTTATAATCTGCTAAGAAACTAAGAAATCATGTTTCCTGGTTACAATAACTTTGCATTTTTCTCAATAGAGAATTCTGAAGACAAAATTTGAAGCAAGACAAAAACAAAATAGAGACATTCCGGCTCAGGTATTTAATTAGCTCCCAATAAGCTTATGTGTTTATAACTAATCTGTCCAACTGTATCGAAGTTTCCCTGGAAATTTTATACTACAGCTGTGCATTCATGCAGAATAAAGATCCTTTTTCTTTCACTGTCATGGCAGCTAAATCTCCATTGAAATAGGTTTTGAGGAGCGGACAACCCTATTAATCCTAGCTGTTTTAATCTGGTGCCTGATGAAAAGATTCAAGAAAGGAGATGGTTGTTAGTCAATCAAACAATGTTTAACTGAACTTTGAATTTACACTGAGGGAGGAAAACCTCTGTGCATCAGATGAAAGTTTATGCCTAGTAAATATTAAAGGTGCTAGTAATACTGCCACTTCCACTTTTTCCCCAGGCAGGTGAAAAAGTAAAGAACATGAGCAACTCTTTGTAGAAACTGCTAATGCATGATAGGTTTATAAAGCAGAGCCCTGTGTAAATTCCTTCTTGAATGTTTCCAACATGAGAAGTCACTGCCTCATGCCTAAAGCAAACTGAAAGCAAGTTTCTGGTGGGAAAAATATCCCTCAGCTACACCTTCCAATTTAAGCATGCAACAAAAGTAGTGCTGCTGGTGTGAGCAGCATCTTACAGTAATAGATGGGGATAATCCGTCTGTACTCTTCACCTCCTTAGAATCACAGAATCCTTTAGATTGGAGAAGACCTCTAAGATCGTTGGCTCCAACCATTAATTCAGCACTGCTGAGTCCACCACTAAACCATGTCTCTAAGCACCACATCCACATGTTTTTTGAGCACTTCAAGAGACAGTGATTCCACTCCTTCCCTGGGCCGCCTGTTCCAATGCTTGACCACCCTTTCAGTGAAATTTCTTTTCCTAATATCCAATCTAAACCTCCCATGGTACGACGTGAGGTTGTTTCCTCTTGTCCTATTGCTTGTTATGTGGTTCATCAGCTGCTTCTGAGCTGTTTTCAGTATGCTCCAGACTTCTCACCTCTGTTTTCACTATCACTCAATCTCACCCAGGCTACAGAATATCTTGTCTCTGTGTTGACTACAGTCTGAAGAAGAGATGGCAGCTAGCAAAGATTCTACCTGGGCATAAGAGAGGTTGCAGTGGCTGGATTCAGAGGAAAACAGACAGAAGACACCAAGAATTTACACGTCCTTTCATTGATGAGATGTATTTACCATTTGCTAATGGTCTCCAAAACAATGAAACTTCTTTCTCAGGTGCAAGATCATACTTTGAGATTGTTTCTTCTGATCTGCATCTATAGAATCTCTTACTGGAAGCTGACTTAACTAAAGTAATCCTTGCATTTGCCACCTCAGTGACAGTAATCACACTTCAAACCAAATCAGAATAAGCTGATACTACTGCAACAGCAGCACTTAAGTAAGTTTAAGCTATCAAATTCCACCTGGAAAGCCTTCTATTCTCGTATGGCAATACAGAGTTTTTTTCTGAGTTTTTCATCAATTAGAAAAGAGTTACTTTGAAACAGAGGCTCGTGGAAGGTAAAGAACTGAGTAACTACACAGTCATGAAATACATTAATTGCAAACATTTCATCAGAAGGTTAAGAAGTGACAAACATTTTTCTTCCCCAGTTAGAAAGCAGTTGACAAATCATGCCCTTTTGATTAATTAAAGCACTAATACTGATGCTTATATACTTACCTAAAAACTCTGAAAGAATAACAAAGTTCGTGGGAAACATGACAATGTGTTTGTAAAGAAAAGTGTATCCTTATTTCATACCTGAAGCATTGTTTCATCTCCAGCTGCTTTCAAGTCATCTTCCTTCCCAATCATTTTCTGCAGCTTTATTTGTTGAAACATGAAAAAAAACCCAGGAAAATTACAAATTTGATCTTACAAAAGTCTTCCTTTTCAGAAACTTCTTTTATTTCACCTTTTCTTAATTCTACATTTCTGCGATGTTCTCTAGTCATGACAAAACATTTGCATACTTAAGGATATTTTGCTGTTCAGACACACTTTTTCCCAGGAATGTCTTCTCTACTGTGGTTAATATACACAAGCAGAATGTGAATCTCTCTCTTGCAACCCAGTGCTTACTCTATTTTTAGAGGAGATTTTCTTGCACTAGAAGCTTAGCATTCACTTTGTAAGATTTTGAAACTCAGGGTATAACATCAAGGATCATTTGGGAAATAAAAGTGAACCTAATTTTCATGCTGTCCTTCTAGATAGCTTTACATAGTTCTGCTACAGACATGATGATCTAGACATGAAAAACATACCTGTTCATATGAGGTACTATACAACTAACAACAAAGAATAATTTAATTAAATAAGAAAACATTTTCAGAACTGGCATTAGACAGAATGTGGCTTTAGTTTCCCCTACACCCCAGAAATAAATTAATCTTGAATGTGCTAGCTAAGAAGATTTTTAGAATTACTGAAATGACTCACATTAAAAAACATAACTTTTGCTGTCCCAAATAAAGCTTTAAAGTAATATAGAAAGTCATTAATTTGCAGTATGTCAAGTATATCTGAGCTGCAAGGTTTTTTTGACTGTATTTCAGCTTGGGAAGTCAACACTGCCACAAGAAGGAATGATTTAATACAGCACAAAACATACCTACCTTTCAGATTCTCACATGACTCCTCAAAAGGACAGCAAAAAGTGAAAGAACAAGGGACTTAATACATTTCAGGAATAGAATCACATAATCATAGAATCATCAAGGTTGGAAGAGACTTTCAATATCATCAAGTCCAACTGTTAACCTCTCCACTGTAACCCCTAAACCATATCTTCCAGTGCCAGGCCCAGACACCTCTTAAACACTTCCAGGGATGGTGGATTGCTCTGAATTCAGACACTTTAGGAAAGATGCTTTTAAAGCTCAGGGTTTTCAAAGCTGCTGGTTTGCTTCTCAAACATTTCTGAGTGATTCCTCAACCTGCCCATTAAAACTGGGAAAAAATACACTAACAAATATGCATATCCAGTATTTTGGGGAGTTTTCAAATCTCTCCTCAGGGCTTTATTTTTTTCCTTTTTTTTTTTCTTGTTCAGAGAAGCAATATGGGCTTGTAAGCAGTGAGAAGAAAAAACCTGCTAACTGTTCATGTTGCCAAAGGTCTTCCCTCAACCTTCAAATTTTGACTAAGTCACCTGAGTTGATTATTTTGTTTGGGTTTTTTTTCATATATCCCAAGTTTTTTAGTTTCTCAGGATAGTTACTTTCCATTATTAGTTTTGAATGGCATGTCTTGATAGTATTTCTCAAAAGAAATACTGTAAGACAAGGCAATGAAACAATACTCACTCTTCCAAGTTTCTCCAAATTATTTTTATTTTTCACCATTTACAAAACAATTGACTAGTACAGCGAAAGCATTATGAATTTCTTCATAGCAAAATAGCATTATAGAGCTCTGGATAAAAACACAACTACTTGTCTATATTCTCACTGAAAAATCACATTTTTCTGATGAAAAATTGATCTTTTGCTCACACATAAGAAATACAACTGCAAATACTTTCCAACAGGAGAAAATATGATTTTTTTTTCTTTTGGATTTTATTTTTAAAGGCCTCTTTAAAAAATCTGCAGAGACTACTTAAGAGCACAGACACACGGTATAATTTTTTTTCACACGTGTTCTGAAAGATTTAGTTTATGGTTTTCTCATACTGTATGTAAATCCTTATAGTGCCTGAAACTATTTCCAGAAGTGTGCTGATTTTTTTCCAGCATAGTGCAGCAACTACTCACAGAGGGAGAATTCTGCCCTCCAGAAATGGACTCCTCCATGTACTATTTATCTGTATTTAATATTTATATCTGTTCATCACTCAAGATACTAATGGCTAATTCAAAGATAATGAGACCTATTATGCACAACTGATGCCTCTTTACTAAAGACATACTACGAAGTCATCTGTTCTGAATAGGACAAGAACTGGCAGAAAGGCTATGTCGGTCTTAAAAAACACAAAAGGTGATTTTGCATCTTCCAGTTGTTGAGAGAGATCAGCGCTGGTGGATGCTCTAGGACTACTATAAATGCTTTGTACCAAACCATCACAACTGCTGGGTGTTGGGTGCTGGTTCATTCAGCCCTAGATGAAGCTCTACAAGATTTTTGTGGTATCTGCTCTCCTGGACAAGTGTGTAAGACAGTCTGTTTAGAAAGACTAAATCACATAGCTCTTGCATGTTGCCAGAGTTACTCTACCTCCGTTCCCAACAGTTTTGAACTGTCATTAATTTTACTTAGACATCTTTAATCAGGCCAGAGTCAGGGAAATTCCTTACTTGCTGGGGATTTTGGGAACTTTTGTAGCCTTATTCTTGGTGGGAGGTCTCAGATTAATGTGCACGGGTTATTACGTGCCTGGAAATCCCCCTCACCAAGTCTCAAGTGAATGTCTTGGAAGTGCAGAGTTCATGGAAGTATCTTACTGTCCTCACACAGATGCAGATAATATGGCTCTGAGAAATGATTCTGCACCCTGGCAGGGGTTGATTAAAGGATGACAACAAGCATCTGTGAACATGCCATTTCTACCTCATCTTCTTCACCCTGGAATTGCAGGGCAAAGCAACAAAACCATCTGGGCCCTAATACTGAAATGTCTTCTGTATTGTGACTGTTTACCACTGAAACATGAATGAAGCAGAAATACACTGGCTTGAATACAAAGAAATAGGAGGGAGAGAGAATAAATAATAGTGTCCCTGTGAAGGGAGAGACATAACTCCTACCAGAAATGAGGAAAATGTGCACAGAAATGGAAAGGGTATGGAGGACAAGATAAACTCCCTTGTTGAAAACATGGGATTGCATTCAAGATCTTCTTTCCTGAACATCCATTTATGTTAGCAAAGAGCACTGGGAAATTCTGCATCTCACACTCCTTCAGTGTCTGATCCACAGAGGTTTGAACAGCCTATCTCCATCACAGGCTGCAGGCACTATGGACTTGGGTTGTAGTTTCTGCTTGTCACCCTTCTCCCTTTCTTGAATGATCCACTTGACACATCTTGTGCCTGTTCATCCAGTAACGTGTGAGAATTGAGACATACACGAATCATTTGCAAACAGGAAGGAAAGTTCTTACCCCAAAGAATTTACAGTCCAGATCAAGAGATAATGTAGACATACATAGATGTCTAATCGGTAGATAATGGATGGGAAGTAGGGAGAAGAAGTGACAAAGCAAGAGAATGAAGTAGCACTGAAATTGCTTTTCCCACTGCATCCTGATTACAGAAACTGCTTCCTAATTACTGCTTCTTCACTATGGTTTTCCACTGCCCTTTCCTTACATATGTTTCCTGATATTATTGTCAAATATAGTGTAGAAATAATCACAGCATAGTTCAGACATGTTTTCCTAAGATGCAAACTGGGACAAATGACAGATTAGCCACACAGTTTGGTAATTTATTAGATATCCAGAAGCTTTCTATGATGCATACAGAACTAGACTATATAGATTAACACACACGCATTTTTCCAGATTCTTACATTCCAAAAATTTTCTTTTTAAACCTAATCTATAAAAATCAAGTTTTCCTTTAAAATAGTCACCTCTAGAAATGTTAAGTAAACAGTCAAGAGAGAAAACGCCTTTTGACTAACTTGCATCCCCTGGGACTTCTTTGAATTTAATTATTTTTGTGAGTTGACAGAGTAATTTATATGTTGCTTTTTTACCATTTTATATTAATTTATCAATACAGCCTATAAATGAAATGCAATGTAACAATCTATCCAACCAGAATAATTTTCTTTAACTCGATTGCCTCTAATCTAAGAAATCAAATTATTTTTAATGATTTGTATAATGTTTTCCCCTCTACATTTGATGACTTTCTGTTGTTCACACTGGCTGATTCAATTAGAATTACCTGAAATGGGTAATGGATCCTAAATACATGACATACTGTATAGCTCCCTAAGAGAGTTGTGCTGTGTTTCTCTACCAATCTCCTTATTTGCTTGACTAACACAGGACCTTTTTAAAGGAAGCACTGCTAACATGGCATTTTGGTGCAGAGGCACTAAAAGCTGAACATATTCATTCATGTTCATGGAATTAATTTCCCCATCATTTTGTAGATGAATAATACAGCCAAAACAAACACATTTTGGTCATCAGGGCACTGCTATTCTGATAAAAATTCACTTGGATTTCATGACATTTAGTTGGTTAAAAATACAGGCTTTACTAGAATTTGATTTCTTTTTAGTCAGCAGAATAATTAACACTTTAATGGAGCAAAATCTTCAAAATAAAAAGATTTTGCACAGCAAAATCTTTGAGGGTAGGGTTAATTTTCTTCGCAGTGGCAAGTATGGCACTATGTTTCAGATTTGTGCTGAACACAGTGAAGATAATAGAGAGATGTTTTTGTTATTGGTGAGCAGAGTTTACACAGAGCCAAGGCCTTTGCTGCTTTTAGTATTGCTACATGGGCAAGGAGGCAGAGGATGCATGGGAAGTTGGGAGGAGACATTGCTGGGACAGGTGATCCCAACTGACCAAAGGGATATTCCATACCATGTGACATCAAGTTCAGCGTATAAAGTGAAGGAAAGAAGGAGGAGGTGAGTGGGACATTTGGAGTGATCACGTTTGTCTTTCCAAGCAATCACTGTGCATGATGGAGCCCTGCCCTCATGGAGATGTCTGAACACCTCCTGCCCGTGGGTAGCAGGGAATTAATTCCTTTTGCTTTGCTTGTGTGTGAGGCTTTTGCTTTCCCTATTAAACTATCTTTATCTCAATCCATGAGTTTTCTAGCTTCTACCTTTCTGATTCTCTTCCAAATCCGACTTCTTGGGGAGTGAACGAGCAGCTGTGCGGTGGTTAAACCACAACAATGGTACCTGCAGCATCAGTTAGAGGCTTCTGGGAACATTGTCTTGGAAAATAATCTAATTTCAAGTATTATTTTCAAATAGTACTGCTAAGTCTAAAACTATTTTTACAACATTTAAAAATATATTTAAAGTATGACTCATCAACTGTCACCTTGCTAAGAGACAACTCACTGAGAAAATGGTCATCAGTGCAAAACATGCTAACACCTATTGTATCATTAATTCAGAGTTTAAGGCTACGAAAGTACACTTGAATTTTTGCCAATTTCTCCATCAACAGGTACAGTTTTAGGTTCTATGGTTCTCTAGAGTTGTGCAGTGACAGAAAGCAATTTGAATTGCAGTAGCCATGTCAGCTTCTTATAAAACTGTCCCACCAGTTACCTCCAATAGGAATGATCTGAATTAAGCTGAGGGAGTCTACTTAAAATTGTGTTTGCTAATTCTGCATTCAACTTTTGACAAGAAGCTAACAGTGTCCTGTTAAATATTTAAAAGCTGAGTAAGCTATATAATAAAGCCTATTCTTCTTTAAAATATCAGAGCAAGATTTTCTTCATTTTTTAAGCATCTGCCTTTCTTCCCCATAGTTCATATAAAATATGGAAAAAAACCCTGCTGTTTCTCTTCAAAATGTTAATTGGTAAAAACCCCTGTTCAACAGCAAACAAAATTAATAAAAACCAAGAGAGGGTGGTGAATTAAAAATTATGCAACATATTTGAAAAATTAAAGACTTTTCCAGATGGTTATTTAAATCAGATCATGGGATTTAAGGGATGTACACCAACTCCTATCTTCCCAGTAACAGATTTTTAGATACAATTTGAAGGCAACATTTTAAAAAGAGGACTCAAATATGTTCAGTACTTCTATAGCAATACTTTGGTATGTGCTCCTTTCATATAAAATGCTTTAGTAACTATGCGATCGTAGATTGGACTGAAAAACAGGCTTGATGATTTTAATGAATCTTCATTTACCAAATATACCCCCTGAATCTATTTAAATGTTTTCAATTTAATATGCATATAAGTACACCTACCATAAAGAATTCTTTCTTTTCAACTTGTTCATTTCCATCTATATCCAACATTTTAAAGCAAATCTGAAGTCCAGTCTGGGGTTCTGCAACAAATTGCAAAGAACTTTATTGAAAATACACACACACACACACACACTTAACTAGCACTTAAATATTGAATGCAAAATGAGGATTGCCTATGGTTCAGTTCTCCATACATATGAACATACATACCTCTTCCAATATAAGCAAACTTTTAAAACACCTTTTTACTATTGTTTCATAATTAATGCAATGGCAAAGTACGAAATGGCAGCAGTCTCTATGTACAGCTGCAAATGTCCATCTGACCCCAACAGCAATATTGTATCTCTTACTGTCCTGATCTTACAATATTCTCTAGAGATGCCTCCATAATCCCATGTCACTTCTGCAGTCTAGCTCTGCTTAGTTTACTAGAGCTTCTTTTCAGGTGAGAAGAGTGGAAATTGCCTTCAGGAACCAGTAACTATCCCCAAAGTGGGTGAAAGAGCTAGTGTACTCCCCAGGTACTTCTTACATGCAAGACTGTAAGCCACTATTTGCAGTCTGATCTCTGGGCTCCTGCTGTGTTAGCCCCAGGCCTTTTTTCCCTTTCCTTCTCCTTCCTTCCAAAACAAAGTACTCAAATGTTACTGACATGCAATAAACTACTCTTTCTGGCTTTTTTTTTTACAAAGGCATGTTTTGTATGACTCCCATCAAGCTGATTTTTTTCAGGAATTTTACCCTGCATTTCCTTCACTGAGTGGATGTTTCTTTTCGACACAAAAATGTAATGAGTTCTGAATCTTGCAGGCACTATAAAACCACGCTGTGTTTTAAGCTCCTTCCCACAATTTCCTGATCTTACTTTGCTTACAGGAGGTGGCCTCACTCATTAGCAAGCCCACACAGGAGCAGCATGCTGCTGAAATGCAGTTACAGTTCACTGCAGTAGCAAGCCCTTACCCCAGTAATTTCTGGAGCAGGTGAATTAATTCCACAACACAGTCATGTCAGGCATTAATATGAAAGCCACTGATTTAATGTCTCTGGGATATATTCACATTTCCAAGAACAATGTTGGACTCATGAGGGCAGTGAAGCAGTATCTCTAAAAAACTCTTAATGCCTTCGGAGATTTACTTTTGGAAATATATTCTTCTAGTTCTATCCTGTAAAGTTTTAAGTCTTGCTTTTTTTTTTTAAGAGAATCTTTCTGCAAAGGGAACCAGTGAAAGAAATATCCCATTCCTTTTAAGTCATAACAAGATGGTTAAAGAAAGTACTATTTTTACATTTTAGAAATAACTACATCTTCAGCAGTCAACTAATGCTCTCTGTGAAGCAACCTTGTGATGCAGGGTTATTTTATAAATACCACTGCAATCTGCACAGCAAAGCCCTTCCCCAGCAACTGGGTTGTAATAATCAAAACAGGCTTCTTCGCCATGGAAATGCCACACGCTGAATTTGTGTTACTAGTACAAAAGCAAGAAAAGGCTATCCTAGAACATATTTAGAGAATAAAAGTAATTGATGTATTTAATAGTAATTCATACCATCTGTGTTCCAATTTTCAGATAAGAGAGCTGTTACTGAAAATATAGGACCTAAAGCTGCTTATACTGTTCAGAGATGACATACTTATCTGATATGATGTAACCCCAAAGGTATGTGTTCGTAAAATAAGCATAGTTCAAAGACTACCACAGATATATTTGTATTTAATTAGAATCAGGCAAAATTCCAAAATCTGAACAGAAGAGCTTCATCTTGGCTGTGAGTGCAGGTTAGACCTAGGTGCTTCCCCTCCAACTACTCCTACGTTGACCAAGCTGTCAACTTGTGTGACTGGCTAATTGAAATGAAGCTTTGAGTAAAGGTGACAACTTCAGTTCTTGGGCTCCTTCACCAAGCAGGGCTCCATTAACCTATTGCTCAAAATGAAATTCAATACAGCACTGGGAGAAAAAAGATAGTGATGATACAAGGCACTCAGAAAAGAGAAAAGAAGGTCACAGAGGGTAAAAATAAAACCTTTGTCTGCCACAGAATTACATTTTCAAGATCAGTGTTGTTACAGGCACTGCTTCTGTATGACAGGCAGCATGGTCTGCTCAGCAGTGTCCTGGAACCAGGACTCTGGAAACCTGGTGGCTCTTTTCCTGTTTCCCTATTGCTCTGTTGGTGAATTAGAAGTAATTTAAATAGTAATGGATGCTTTAAGAAATCTCACATTAATTCTCACTAGTGAGAGAGACAAGTTGTGTACCTGGGGCTGACTGACATGGGATACTTGCTAGGCAAAGACAGAGGCACTAACACTTGTTGACATTTCCTTTCAAACTGATTGGTATGATAACCCTCTGTGTAACCAAAGCAGCAACATTAGCACTGCATTTTTATCCTGCATCAAAAGGTGTCTTTGTTTTTTGCAGTTCAATACATTCCTATATAAAATCTGTGAAAAATGTTACTTGATTGTCTGGAGAAGTGGAACAACTTGCTCTGATATTGCTCCAATTTTCTAATTGTTTTAGTCAATAATTCAGCATGAATTCAGTTTCAGCTGCCATAAATTTTTAAAGAAATAGAATCTTTGGCACCTATTTCTGCATCATTAAGGTATTCCTCTGAAGTTATTTGGCTGTCATGGTTGTCCTTTTTTAATACAAATCCATCTTTTATGGGTTGCAACAGATATTTCAAAATCAGTATTGTAGCTGGGCTAAACTCTTATTTCTGATTTAAAAGTCACTTGAATACACAGTATAATAACTCAAGTTCAAGCAGTGTGTAGCATGGGACAGTCACCACTGCTGAACTAATGTATTTGTACGTTAAATAGGTTACCTTAGTGTGCATATATATATATATATATACACTATATATATATGTATTTATATATAACATTTAATACTGTGCACTAGCTGAAGTTCCCTATGAGATTACTCTCCCTTCATGCTTGATATTTTCCAGCATCGGCTATACTTCCAACAGAATAAAATGGGGGGTAGCAACCATGGCACAGAGTAAGTACGAGTGAGGAAACCCAGAAAATCTGAGATCACTTCCACACACAATGAAAAAATGACTGCTCTTTGTAAATAAAGCAAGTACCAAGCAAAAAAGCTTTTTTAAAAAGTGTCTGCTAGACAAAAAGGAAAGAAGCAAAGGAGGGCAGAAATACTTGGAGGAAATAAAGTCAAAAGGGAACAGAGGATAAATAAAAAAGGATTCAAAAGTCAAATGAAAAGGCACTACAGAATTCTGCTGTTTATATATTGCATCCATTGCATATCTGAGCACAAGAATAATAGGCAACAACCTTTGAGACACCTCAACAGCTTTTTACAACACTGCATAAGTTATAATGCTAATGTCTCATTGTCCAAAATTACTAGAACTACTATCCAGAAGACAAATTATTGATCTTCTCCTCCTGTTCTTCTCCCCCTTATCATGTGGGTCTGTAACCAATGTCTCCCCTCTCTCAAAGTCTTTCAAAAGGCTTTTCTGATCCCATGGTGCAGGGATTACCACAATTTTTTAATTCTATGGACCAACGATGACACTATGGAAGTAAATTGCAATCCATTAAAGTTATATCCATTTATATTAGTGCATTATCACTATACATACAACAGCTTTTTACATTTTACTATAATGCAGAAATTTAGAAGCTAAAAAATGTCATTAAAAAGTTAATGGAAAGTTGTTGGTAGATGAGTATTTACTGCTTATGTATTTTAAACATATAATACTTACTCGTTAGGATCGTCAGCAAAAATAGGTACTCTGCATAAGATATCAACCCTGAAATAAAAGAGTTTAAAAATTACTTGTGAAAAAAACACCAAAACCTTATGGCAAGACTTGAAAGATCAGATCTTATAAGACTTGACATTGCATTAAACACATTTATTAAAGTAAGTCATGTTATTAATTAATAAAGTTTTTACTTCTGTTTTTAGTGCTCTGAAGGTAAAACTCCCTATCCTGAGACTCATCAATGTTCATGTCTTATCACGAAAGTAAGGTTTATTTGCTATTAATAAAAGGCCTACACTAAATCTTTGGATTCTCACTGAAAACATTCAATGTTTATATAAAAGGCAAATAAATTAAATGTGCTTTGTCACATTTAGTACCTGGGAGGAGAACTACTCCAACATTACCCTGAAGGATCAAAGTCCTCCATCCCTTGGCAGGCTCGCAAAGGCGGAGAATAGCTTCCCTCTAATTCTCAAGGGGAACATGGCAACACGCAAAGCTGCCAAGCTGCTAGATTGTGCTGATAGTACTGCTGGGCTGAGTGCCAAGAGGAGGCTTCTTTCTTTTTTTTCTTTTTTAAAATAGGAACATGTCCTTTCTACAAGGTGAAAGTATTTTCCCCCCTTTTGAAGGAAAATTCCAGTGTTTTCTTTTGAAATACCGCCTTCAGTGAAAAGCCTGAACAAACACAGAGTTGTGATAGCGTCAAAATAGAGCATACAAGCTAAAGATAGAGAGAGCATAATGAGGGTGGTTAAACAACAGAATCTGAACCATCTGCCCTGCAATAATGTTTGGAGAAAAAATGTAAAGGGCTTTTTTATAAATCACTTTTCAAAATAACTGAGCTACTTTTAGCTTGTGAGCTAAACATTGTATAATGCTGAAGCTGCTTAAAACAATGAAGTTCAAACATGCCTATGTGTGCAAAGATAAACTATTTTTATAATTTATATTTAGTTAATTGATAGATAAGGAATCCACTTAGGCTTCAGTGACAAACAATTAACTTCTGATAAATTACTATGCAGAGGCAACAGTATTTGTATTTGACTTCGGATAGTGACTAACACTTTTAAGTACCAGAGTTTAGAAATATTACATTGCTAAATGCAAGAGTCGGAAAAATCAGAGAACAAGTCTTAGCCAAATGCAGGTCTAATGCTGATCCCGTTGCCAGCTCACTCTGGTTCCATATCTGAGCTTTCCCCTCTATCAAAACAGGGCTATCCACCCTATTATCCAACACGCATCATGTGTAAATCAGCATAGTACTACAATCATACAATATGCTGCAGAAATAAAAAATACTTTCATCTCAAAGTCTTAGTTTTGCTTAGAAGAGTTAGCATTTCTGACATTGCAAGAATGCAAATTATTATTTGCATTGCTGTAAAACTTGGACTCATCTTACTAAATGAAACATCTAGGTTTTCTACAAATTTAAAACCAAACAAGCAGTCAAAGAACTCCTATCCCATTTTTTTAGCTTATATGCCTAAGTGTAAGCCAAGATAAGCAAAAGGATAGAAACAAACCAGGAGGTGAAATGAAATCAAGCAGAAAGTGTGATGGGCAGTGATCAAGATTCCTAATTTTGTTTTGCATGTGACACAGCAGAATAATGTTTAAGCAAAGAGTATAAATGAAGACAAGGAGGCAACTTATCAGGTCTGTATAGAAAATACCTCCCAGTCATGGACTGTGATGTTGTCAGCACAAAGATCCCTGACTGAAAATGTAACCCCCAAGCAATGCAGGACAGCATCACTGGCCAAGGAGAAGTGGGAGTCTGTCTCTTGGCTGTCTTGAGATGCGCTGCACAGGAATAGTCTGAGGAAGACCTGGAAACTGAAGAAAAGCAGCTTATGCTAGATAAAACATAACAAGAAGAGTCCAGTGTTGGGAAACAAAATAAGAGATGATATACTCAAAGGAGCTGTGAAAGCAAAACATATTTATCAAAGCATTTGAAAGAATATTAATGTGGCAGATTATGTTTGTTAAAGTCTGAGAAAAAAAGTCATAATAATTGAGATACAAAACACTGAGCCACTGCAGAGTTTTAGCTGTATGGGTAGATGGGGATCATTATAACTTATAATGGTATGGTGATGGTAGGATGTAAAGAAAAGATCAATTTAAAGACAACACCCTGCTTGTTGGCTCAAGGGAGAAGCACCTGAATTGCAGAGGGCTGGAGAGAGGAGCCTTGCAAGAAAGAGCAGGGGTGAGACACAGACTGTGTTTTCATCATCTCATTGTAATCTGACTGAAAAGCTACTGTAGCGAAACCTGTAAAAGGAAAATACAATAAAAATATATAAAAATATTCTGGTTGTCCTTTAAATCCTGACTCAGTGCTTTAAAGCAAATCCACAGACTACCTGATATTTTTTGGAAGACTGATTACGCTAAAATAATTTGTCATGATTTTTTAAACTTGAAGACTAATTTCCATTAGTTTAATTATTTTAAATTTATTGTCCTTTTACTACCTGTAATGAACAGGCAATTTACTTCATCCATGAAGTAAATTAAACATTTTGGCAATCTTCTTTTTTATGCTACAGGAATTGTTACAAAGTTACTCAAATTAACAGATGTAATGTAGCAAATTAAAAAAAAACCCCAAAATAAAACATCTCACTGAAAATTATATTCATATCCAAGCAAAACTTAAAAGATAAGAGCTTCACATACTGTTGAATGACTCAGCACACTTGCAGCCAAGTATTTGCAGTTAGCACTGCACAATACTGTCATTGTCTAACACTAAAGGAGCCTTCCCTATCCCTCCCTAGAAATCTCTGTCCTCAAACTTTATAGCAAATGCTGACAGCACAATATTCTTAGTGCTGAATAAATCATAAGTATACCCACAAAAATATGACATGAATTTTAAAACTGCCCACTAGAAGGCAGAATTTCCTAGCATTACATTTTACAAACTGGACTGATGACAATTTTCCCTCCCCTCGACATTTAAATAACAATTTGAAGGTAGTTAAAATAACCTCAGCTGAACAGTGAGACGGGGTAGATTCATTATTCTGGTACGTGCAAATGCATAAATATTTTCATTTTGAAACTGTGATAATAATGCATCTCAAAGGAAAAGCATCAAAGTCACTAAAGAGACATCATGACCAAAACCTGTAAAAACTCTGTGTTTCAGACAAAGGGATGACTGCACTGAATGTTCCTGCATCATCTCAAACTCTTACCTGACCTTTGAAGGACGGAGTATATGGACACACAGTGCTAAGCAAGGGGAGATCTCTGCCAGAATGCAAAAGATGCCAGGCTGAGTATATCACTGAGCCCACTTTCTGCCAAGCACTCAGCTGGGAGAGGTGCAATAAAAGGAGGCTGCACTGAGTTGCTATGTTTTCAATTTCTTTTGGCGGATTCCCGGTTTTCCCAGGCACTGTGCTCTGGGGATTGGCAGTATCTATCACTAAAAAAAGAAAGGCCCTAAAAAAGCAAGTACAGAGAGAGAATATCCAATAATTAAAGACTGGGAATACTTAACACCCAATCCTGGGAAAGCGTGTGATGACTAGTAATTTAAAAAGGCAGGGAATAACCACTCAAGACAATATCCAGCTTTTCCTAGGGTAGGAAAAACCGTTCAGCTTGTTCAGAGAGGTTTCAGGGCTGCTGGGGTATGCTGGGGCTTTCAGGAGTGGACTGACAAGCAAGGCACCCAGCTGGAACCCCCTCCACGGCTGCAAGGATGCAAGAAATGAACTGCAGGCAGAAGAGGCCGTGAGGCCGAAGGGTAGGCAAATGCTGCAGGCCGAGATGGAAGGCTGTTCTCTTGGCACAAGCTGCCAACTGTGTCTGGGGATCTGCTGTGCATGGAGAGAGTGTGGCTCATGCCTGCCAAGGAACTGCAGCAGTGTAAAGGCAGCTTTATTTCCCAGAAACATCCACGGGATAAGGGATTCAGGCTGAACTCTACGATACAGAAAGTTTGTGAATAGGCGCTGTCAGTCCTTCTCATTAGTTTGGGGATTTTGGTCTTTGTTACTGGTGAAATGGTTAATTACTCATCTATTTGGCTTCCTTGATCCTCTTGTTTGTTTTCTCCCTTCAATTAATTTATGCTAATGAGATGTTTATTTAGTGTTCTTTAATTCCCTGTTGTTACACAAACAATATCCCAGATCTCAGAGTTTTCTCTTCATGTAGTCCAGTATAAGGTGGAAATGCTAGATGAAAAGAAATCAAAGTAAATCAGCACTGTGAAGGATCACAGAGCTCCTGAAGGATGGACAAATAAGTTCAACTGCTCTTGGAATCAGGGATGCCACTTTATACAACTAGATACAATTATTATTTTTATTCTTAGTTTGTATGCATTTAAGTTACATAGTGAAAGAGCAGCTTATTAACAAGTCTTAAAAGTCCATTTTGTGCTGAATTCATCATTTTAGCCCCTTTCTCTTCTCCATAGGCTTTTCAGTTTCTTTCATGTCTCCTCCTGCACCTCAGAAGGCTTTAAATTTTCAGCCCTGTCTCTTTACTCTCTTGCATAACTGAGAGATTTGCCAACGAGGCAGCTACTGGCTAGATGGGGATGAAGTCAAATCCATGAAAATGCCTTTAAAAATACATCCAAGCCATATCATATAATGAGATAAAAAGCAAGACGTGTTTTTCAGTATCAAAAGTGCTGATTACCTTTATCACCAAGCTCTCTAAAAAAGTTCGGTCCTGGTTTAGCTTTGGCAACATACAGCAGTGCAGCATCTACCTCCTTTAAAGACACAAACAAGAAAATATAAAGCCAGTTTTGAAAGAGAAGCTTATTCACTTGAGTATCAGAAAGAATGCAAGTTCTTTTGAAGAATGAAAGGAACACTTTGCTTACCTTTTTTGTCAGTTTCTTGGCTGAGGCTTTGCCTATAGTAAAAAAAAAAACAACCATCATTCAATAACAAACTGCCTTTAAACTTTGATCAGTTTCTGTGGCATATCTTCAGATTTTTAGGGGAAAATGCTAAGTTATATGAAACAGAATATTTTGCAACAGGCTGTTTGTTTCTAATTCCCATGACGATCATGAAAGGACAAGACTTAAAAATAATCTGAGCAGTCTGTTCAAACGTTCTCTCAACGTAGATGAAGCCTCAGCCCACTTTGGTACCAACTTAGTGTGACTTTTCATACTGTGAGCTACAAATGTCATGCAGATTCCAAAGCCAGATTATACAGTAAGAAATAACTGTAGTATTTACAAAGGGATTTGCATGAACACACAGTAATTCTTGAAGTGAAGGTTGAGTATGTGAAAGCTAAGAAATATATAAAAAAAAAAAGATTGAGAATTATGTTTCTATCAAGCAGAAGTAAATTGAGCAACTGTGGGTCCTCAAAGAGCATCAGATGGAAACACGCAAACTCCTAAGTGCTTCTTAATAGATTCAAGTCTATACACTAGAACAGGGGAGCCACTGGCAGCAGTACAGGTTGTATTCCTGTGTAAATCACCCATGTGAGGAGCTGCCATGTACCATCAGTGGAATATTCCAGCTGGTTAGGCAGGGATCACAGAAACCCTATGGTCATGGACCAGCAGGAGTTGTGCTCCATCCCTTCTCAGTCTATCTGCCCTATCACACCGATCTGTCTCCTCGGCGTTTCTCCTCATACAGCTCTCAAACCCTGTTGTCCTTCACTCTTACCACTCTCGGCCCATCACTCCCTTTCTTCATCACGAGTTCCTCTGGATTCCAGCCAGTCATTCCCTCCTATTTATTCACACTGTGTAAGCACAAGCTGAGCTGCTTGGATTTGCTCTGTGGACTGGCGCCCCTGTGTGCAGTGCTTTGCTCCATGCTCAGACTCCAAGGCTACTCTGCTGTTTCTCGGGCATCTTGCATCCAAAGGATCACAGCACTGCTACTTGGAAATGGACATGATGGTGGCAGCCTGGTGGGCAGCTGTCAACAAATGTCTACCAAGCATTTTCACAGGCCCATAATTTAGCCAGACAGAGGTGCATTCTCAGTAAAGCAGCAAATTTCCATACTGCTGGCAAGTGGCATGCCCAGCTGCAGGAGGTCTTCACTGGTGACGTTTTTCTTTGGTCAAGGGAAGCTGCTGGAAGACCTCAACCAGCAATAGCTTATTTTTCAGCACAGGCAAACCAGTGCCCTGACTTCTGCTCCCTGAATTGGTAGTAACAGTTTTGCTGATAAATTCCTCTCCCCACACCCCCTCCCTCAAATCAGCCTAAGGCAGACACCTGGCACATAACATTTCAACACAAATGTTTAAGTTTGACAAAAGTTATAAGCAACTAAAATTAGGGTTTTAATACTGGAGTGTTGAGTGACCCCAGCAACAGGTGTTGCCAGTACCACCTGTTACTGTGGATGAATACATTTTTGTGCACTGCCTGCACATATATTTACACCCATATACACACACATATTAAGCTGCTTAGGTAGATACCCTCTAACTCAAAAAATGTATGAAATCCTCTACTTTGCCTCATTTGAGACAAAAGAAGTTGGACTGGGAGAACAAGGAACAACTGCTACATCCAGTAAGGCTGAGTCCTGAGCAGTGTGATGTAACACCACAGTTCCATGGAACGCCGTTCACTGTTGCAGAGCATTTTAAGGAACTGTTACTTAGCAAGTTAAAAGATTTAGATCTCAGGGTTGAAATGTTGCTGCCTCTGTACAGCGCATTTCAATGTGGAACTAAACTACAGCTCTTCTTTCAGGTCTGGGAGACCCACATAGCAACAAGCCTTATAGAAGTTAATGAGTCAGGCTGTAGGTCTGTGAAAAACAGCATCTGAAAGAAAAAAGTGAAAACCACCCTGCAATACTTTTTACTGTACATGCTCTTTGTACTTGCTGTGTGTACTGAAGCCAGGCACGCACCCTTATCCCTTATTTGGTTAAGAGCAGCTCCATTCATTCCATTCTCCTGGGGACCCCAAGAACATTACATCAGGGATGGTACCTGCTACCACAACAGTGTACTGGGGAACAGCCTTTTGCCAGTATCCAGGAGGATGATGAAGGGAGACAAGCTGAACTCTGAGATAGAACAGCAATGGCATGGCTAATTGATCTAAGGTAGGAGAAAGCACAGGGAGGTGCAGCTGAGGCACTACTTGGACTCTACACTTGGTTAAGCCTGTTTCTCTGCTTTGTGTTGTATTCAGCACAAGAACTCCAAAGCACTTCAGCTACCCAGTTTTGGGCAATAACATATCCTCAGAGAGAATTACCATATCTTGATAAAAATTAAGTATGGCAAGGAAAATCTGTTGTAGACATATGGACTATCTTTTCACCACCCAGCAGTCACAACTGCAACTGCCTAGAGCTCACAGCTAGAGTCGATGGCTGTGGCAGCCATCAACATCTGTCCTCTTGCATTCAGCCATGGTCACCCTTCAGAGGATGCTTAAGATGCTGACATGTCTACTGATCTCTTTCAGAGATGAAAAGACAGTAATAACAACAATACAGAGGTGCTCTTGCTGCCCTTGCATGGGTGAAAGGACTAGTGGAGGAAAGGAAGTCTTTGCTGAGTGGCAGAAGAAGGAGAGGATAGTCCTATCACCCCAGACCATGGTGAGAGGCAGAACCATGTGGGTGAGAGTCAGTCCCTGACACAACTGACTGGATGAGGGGCAGCTGCTACAATAAGAGAGGAAAAAAGGCAGGAAGGAAAGGGACAGATTGAGAGATAAACAAAGACAACTACTTTTCAAAGCAGGAAATCCAGCAGAGTAATAAATGTGGAGCCTTTTAATGGTGCTCTTCTCAAATGGGCTTCAAAATCAAAATATTTAATGACCTAGTCAAATGAAAATGACATACAGATGTCAGCAAGCACATGTACTAGTAGGCTAGGAATGTTATGGGAAAATACCCCTGAACTTGGGACAGTAGTGTTATTTTTCATATTGCCATTTGTGTGAAGTACTAGAATACAAACCTATAATCATGTAATAATTTAAATTGTAGAATGAGTTTCCTCCAATAATTATTTGAGTATTTTCTAAGTATTAAATCCAGTTATATTTTATTGGTGCTGTCGCCACACAAAATTATCTGTGAAGACTCAAATCTCAGTTTTCACTGGGAAACATTAGCTACTTTTATTGAGGCACTCATAATATTCCTTGAATATTAATTTAGCTTTTGGTGCTTATTCTCTCCATTTATTCCCAACAGTGAGATCCTTTTAAACACCAGCAAGGAAAACTCTGTTAATATCAAATGTGCAGCCCTCCGAGGAACCAGACCTCTTAAGGCCTTGTCTACAATACTTAGGAGAAGAAGGTTAACTCCTCTTTGCAGAAAACACAATGCAAATGTATGATCAGTTTTCTTAGCCAGTTTGGACATTGGGGGGAAAAAAAGTGCCTCTTTCTTTCTATGAATTAAAACTTGCTGCTGTCATTCCTCACACATGACTACAAATATATCAGGATCTAAGTCTCTCTGTTAGGAATACAGGCAACAGATATAATTATTAGGAAATATTTCATCTAATAAGTAAAAGATCTGTATGATGCAATTTCCTATAGTTGTATTATTTTACCTTATTAGATTCTCTAGATTCTATTAGGTAAATTAATGTCATATTAGAAAACTTGTTTGTAGTAGTAACAGTCTTACTTTGGTATATAAAAAAACAAACTCGGAATTTTTATTATTTTGAACTTGGATGAATGAGAATAAAAACTTGGTCTTTTCCCTGTAGATCTGCCATGGCTATGATGGAATTCTGGCTTAAATGACAGAGAGTATTTTCAAGGGTCTCTACATATTTTACAGATACCATCATCTAATTTTCACCATCTATAGCGTGTCCATGAAACAATAAGGTACAGACACACCTTACATGGACAAAAAGGCATTTTAGCTTTTTAAGATGAATGAATACCAAGTCTACATAGAGGCACACACATTCTGTGCTGTTAGCCAAGAAAGTTAGTTGACAACTGTAATTAAGAAAACACTGCCAAGAGCAGCTCTGTCAGCCTTAATTTGCCCTCGGTGAACTTGGGTATTTTGTCACATACATTTCTTACAATAGAAGCCTTTCCATCATCTAGCATTTTTTTACACTACGGTGTAGAATGGACCTGACATCCATGTTAGGATTAATGTTAGGAAAGGACTGAATTAAACAAGTACCCACTTGCAGTCAGTAACACCCATTTACACCTGTACAGCTAAGGAAAGGCTTAGACCTGACAAAAGACGTTTAGATTCAAAGAATGAGCAAAATCACCAAGACCAACAATTATAACAGCAATAATCAAATGCCAAAGCAAAAGTAGTTAGTACTATCTGCAAGAAAACATAACTTTACATGTGTGCAAGACTGCTTTACTTTTGTAACATGGAAATTAAAATGAAATTTTGAATCAATCTCTCTCCACAGCCTTAACTTCAAATGAGACCAGTACAAAATAGGTATCTTTTCCTAGGAGGGCAACAAACTCCTGTCCCTTTTATCAGCAAAGCCACTTGAGATGGCTTGAACAGGATTTCTTTTTAGCTCCATTTCAAACAGACACAGCGACAAACAAAAAAAAAACCTACTGACCTCCCAGCTTTTTAATTTTAGATGGCAATTATTGCTATCTTTGCTGAAGCTTCGCAAGTTCAAGGTCATACTGGGGTGCTATAAAACCATTTGGATTTTCATGAAAAATTAAGATGAGAATAGCATGAAGTATATTCACAATTCAAACTCTCATACTGCAAAATGATGAGTGAAATGAACCTTTTAAGTTGGATGGGATTTCAGCACAGTCGTAATCTGAAGATCAGGGCATTTTAAAAACCAAACCCACTGTGTGCAGCTCATGCTGTGGCCTTTACAGCAGAGCCTACCCTGCAGCCTTGCCTGCCATGGGA